ATCTCGATGAGGACTATCGTTTGTCAGTTTTATGCGACGATCTGCCAAGCCGTTTCTTTGTAATTTGGAAAATAGTGTTAAATTTTACCTCCACATTTAAGCTCATGCTACCGAATCGATTTTAAAAAATCAAAAATTGTTCGAAAGATATTAGTTGGGAATGATACTGATTAGTTTTAGGTAAAAATCTACCGAGCCGTTTTTTTGTAATAAACTGTTGAAAAAAAAATTAAGACGATTTTTATGGAACTTTTTTTGGCGATATATATCATGGTCTTATAGAACTTACTGAAATATTACGGCCTTACAACAAGTAGTTTAATTTTAAAAATTTATCAAAGTTTGAGAAAATGAGTAGCTTTTTCGACGTTTCTTAAATTAAAATTACACTAATTACTTGGTATAACGATAGAGTACTTGGTCTTAATGAACATACTAAAGTCCCACGGAAACTGGTTTAATTATAAAAATTGTTGATTTTTGAAAATTTGCTTTTAGAAAATACTCCGAGTTAACAAGATGTCCATTCGTGTTCAATTATGTGTAATGAATTCACTCCGAATACTTTCAATTACTCATAAATTAATTTATATATTATTGATTAAGTCGATTATTTACACATATCGGGAAGTTCATGTAACTTGTCTCAAGGCAAAATATCAATACCAACTAGTTTTATATATTTTATTTTTTTTATATTTTTTAGTATCAAGATTGGATAAGAAACGCCATCACAACTCAGCCAGAGAATCTGAATAGTCATTACGTCGGAGGAACTGACAAAAATCATTTGAGCCTTGTAATTTTTATAATCAGCATCGTCGTCAAAGAAATATTGTAATACCGGTAAAAAGAAATTGTAATGTGTCGTCCAGTTTTGTAGAAATTAATTCATTACATAAATTTTCATTTATGGTGGTAAGTGGTTGTTTATTATTGACTTATATATATATATATATATATATATATATATATATATATATATATATATATATATATATATATTATATCTGCTGTGTATAAGGATCATTTATCATATATATACTATATATGAGCCAATATTAAGTTACAAGGCATGGATTTGTGTTGCCCTCGAGACAGCACATAAAGTTTAATGATGTCAAATTATATCAAAGATTTATGTGTCTGTGATAATAAAAATACAAAGTATATATATATATATATATATATATATATATATATATATATACAGGGTGTCCCAGAACCCAACGTCCGAACTAGATGCTCATTAGATTCGTTCTAGTTTAGTTTATCGTAAGATTCTTACCAGATTCTTACTAGATTCTTACTAGATTCTTAGTGTTTACCAAAAATTTTAATGGGTTAGATCAGCGGTTTCCAACTTGTGAGGCGCGCCTGGTTGTTCTAAGGGGAGCGCGTACATCTGTTTCTAGAATACTATTTTCAAAAATAAACCAAAACTTTTGAAATGATATTAAAAAAATATACAATAAACAATTAATTTTTATGCATATTTTTATATAATGTTGCAATTAATTTGTAGACTGATAATATCAGTTGAGTATTTATAAAATTAAATTTTAAAAAAAAATTAAGGGGCGGCGCAACATTTGTTTTATCAGAGCAGGGGGGCGCGGTTCAAAAAAGGTTGGAAACCACTGGGTTATATTGTTAAGTTAATTATATAAAAAATGTATAAAAGGACTCTACTGGCGAGAAAATTATACATTGACTTAGAATTAAAAAAAGGACTCTACTGACGAGCAAATTAAATATCATCTTTGAATAACTAAAAAGGACTCTACTGACGAGCAAATTAAGTATAATCTTAAATAAGTAACTAGTGGGGTGTATGGCATCGTGCCTCAAGGCAAATTGCTGGAACTTGCCGAACCGTAATGAAATGTTCGAGGAATACTGAATGTTTTCAAATAGATTATTATTAATATTGTAACATTGTCTAATATTTATAAGAATTATATAAACTGAATTGCAAAGTTAAAATTATTTGTTTGAAATATATTAGAACTATAGTCAGAATTAAAAATAAAATCTGAACAATTTTCGATATACAAAATAAAAAAAATTGAAACTAATTTTGTTCCCAATTACTTTGTTTAAACAAGCAGAAAGTTTTTTAGATCATTTAAATCGGCCGCTTATTTCACTCAAAAACTGCTATTTTTTGCACATTTAGTTCTGTATCTTCAAAATGGCGGGACCTGTCTTTGCCAAAAACTAATCACCTCTTCTCCCAATCATTACAAATTGAATGTTTTTTAGATCATTCAAATCCGATACTCCGTTCTTTCAAAAACTCGAATTCTATTTTCTGCACTCTTTGCTTCGTATCTCCGTAATGGCTGGACCTGCCTTTGCCAAAAACTAATCAGCACATCTTCCTATCATTAGGAATCGAATGTTTTTTGCAAAGCAGCTCTACTGACGAGCAAATTAAATATCATCTTGGAACAAATAATAAAAAGGACTCTACTGACGAGCAAATTATATATTAACTTTGAATAAATAAGAAAGGACTCTACTGACAAGCAAATTATATATCATATTTAAATAACAAAAAAAGACTCTACTGGAGCAAATTAAGAAAATATCTCTTACATTTAAAAAAAAAGACTCTACTGACGAGCAAATTAATTTTTTTTTTGTTTATTTTACTCAGCTACTTTTACAGTAACAGCAAATTAAATATCGACTCAGAAATTAAAATAGGGACTTTACCGATGAGCAATATGATTATCGACTTAAAAAACAAAATAAGGACTCTACTGACGAGCAAAGTTAATATCAGTCAAGAAAATAAAAGAGACTCTACTGACTAGCCAGTAAAATATAGATTCAAAATACCAGTTAAGTTTAATGGTTTACATTCTTCTTAGATTCTAACTTTTCCATGGGTTCCGTACCAATGTTAATTCGTTATACTGCAACGCGGCGCCCACGCGCTTCGATATTTCGTTTCTACGCATCTAACGTATCGCGATTGCTTTGAAAAACAGTTCGAAAACTTCTATATATTTCTAATTATAAAAAAAATAGATTTTTTCAAAAATGTCAATCGTTTTCAAAAATTTTAAAAATCTCAAAAATCGATTATTTTCAGAGTTCTAAAAGAAAATTGAATCATTTTTATAAAATTTAATTTTTGGTACGGGAAGTTCTTGCAATTTGCTTAAAGCAGGATGCCATGCACCCAGTGCTGGATTTACAGTAGGGGCAATCGGGGCTACTGCCCAGGGCGGCAAATTTTGGGGGGCGGCAAAATTTGGATAGTGAGAAAAAATTCTGTACAATATAATCAACTTTTTTTAACAACATTTTTTATTTCAAGAAATCTAATTAACAAAACATAATACGATTGCAATGCAAAATTTGGGTTGAAATAAACGTTAACTAAAACTTATTATTTTGCCTTGCCTCCCTCCTCTCCGAACGTAAATTATCAAATTGGTTAATAAGTTATCAAATTTGGCAATTTGGCTAATATAAAGATCTGTAAACAAGCTGAAAGTTTAAGAAAAATATGTTCTTCAGTTCTCGAGCCCTCTTAAAATATACGTATTTGTGCACTTCCAAGCTTATAGCGTCAAAAAAAAAATTTAAACTAAGTGACTCATGGCACTGTGTCTTAAGACAAATTACTGAAACACATTGTACTGAAAATTACATTTTATAAAAAGCTTTAAATTTTATTGGAAAATGAAAAAAAGACTTCTAAAACACATTTTTTTATTTTAAAATTTTTCGAAAATTATGAACTTTTTGCAAAGCAATCACGCTGCGTAGCTGTTTCAGAGAAGAAGTATCGAAACTCAATTACCATTTTTCGTAATTGCCTGTACCAAAAGCTGATCAGCACGTCCGCCCCATCAATTTGTATACAAATCTAATATTTTTTAATTATTCAAGTCGATTTCGAGAACACGGATCAACCGATTTATGATTCAATTCCTATTGATATAAGGAGACGTGCTGATTAGTTACTGGTCAAGGCAGGTCCAACTGTTTTGAAGATACGGGCCAAAATGCCAAAAATGATAATTCAGTTTTTGAGAAAAAAGCGTCCAATAACATTCAAAAAAATTTACAGAATAAATAACTGCTTAAATTTGTGGGGGCAGAATTAGCGGTTTCGATGATCCAATAAAAAATTTGAAAAATAAACATTTGGCGGACAAAAGTGATCATAAGACATAGGCACATTAAATTATTTTAACATATTAAATAATTAAAATATTTTAAAGATATAATAACAAGTATAAATTTTGTTTCCATTTATATAAGTTCTGTAACATTGTTTATCAGTTAGACTGCGACGCGGCGCTTACGCGCTTCTATATTTTGTCCCACGCAGCTGAAGCAGCGCGATTGCTTTAAAAAAAAGTTCGAAGGTTCGTAAAATTTCAGGGATGGGGCGGCATTTTTGTCAGTGCCCCGGGGCGCCAAATTTCTAAATCCGGCCCTGCATGCACCACTAATTATGACTTGCTTTATATACAGTAGAATCTCACTAACCCGGCAATTCGATAGAGCGACTTCTTCAGTAATCCGACGATTTTTTGGAAAAGGTTTGTAAATTGTAATGTTATTTCATTATAATCCAGTAGTCCGAACATTCCAGTAATCCGACATACTCCGGTTTTCAAACGTGTGGACGATAGACTTTTAAAATACAAGGAAAATTGTAAAATCTCATAAAAATCATATGCAAATACATATCAACTTTATACATTATTTAATTTCTTTCATAATTACGCATATTTTTTTCAAACAAACTATTCACGTACAACTAATCATTTTCCTTGCAGCATAAAAAAACATTTTAAATGTTAACTTTTCTTTGCGCGCTTTAATTTGAATTTTTCATCCGTTAAATCAAACTGAAGTTAGTAACACTTTTGCACCGCCATCTTTGCAACTTGATGTGAACCAAAAGTGACATTTCTCAAGATTTGTTAAAATATGCAAAATGACATTTCCAAGTAATTTATTGTTATAAATATAAATTATAAATATAGTTATTGATATAAACTAGATTTTTTTAATGATCTGATAGTATTAAACGAGTATGGCTTACTTTTTGGGCCAAAACGTTGTTAATTATGTGTGTGGGTGTGGAATTTTAAAACCTATCACCAAGATATACTTTTGTAGGCACTGTTTGAAAATTAGGTGCGGATTTTGTGTCTACCATGAGGTAATAATATACACATATATAAATATACATATACTTATATATATATATATATATATATATATATATATTTCTATTATTTTTTTCCCAGGTGGATTCCTATTACTGTGTAAACTGTCTGGAGAATATTCCCTCCTCAGAAGCTCGTCTCCGAAAGCACAAATGTGGAAACTGTTTCAACTGTCCTTGTTGCTTCCATACGTTAGCCACGAGGGCTACAAATGTTGCCCTGCCGGTGAAAGCTGACGATGAACGAAAAGATGCCAAACCCATTACCAGGAAGATGTACTATTTTGCTTGCTTTTCTTGTCGGTGGACTTCTAGGGATGTTGGGATACCTGACCAAACCGTTGGTAAGATAATAAATAATAAATCACAAATTGTTACCTAAATTTGCATCTAGATTTAAATAATACATTTATCTATGCATGTAGTTTATAATGTTATAATTTTTATATCTTATTTTCTTTTTCCAGCTAGTGGAGCGTGGCCGGATAGAGAAAATGTGCACTCAAATAGAATCGTGGCTCTACAAGAATATTTCACAACGCTTGTGATAAAAGATAAAATAGCAAAGCAAGAGATGCTGAAGAAAAAGCACAACGCAAGAAGCAAATTCACCACTTTAACAGTAAGATAACATTCTTCATAATATTTATATATATATATATATATATATATATATATATATATATATATATATATATATAAAGTTGTTTTGCCATAAAAAATATGCCTAAATTGATAAAAAATTAATAAAAGTGCCAAAAATCAACTATTTAATAGATTTGGGCTCTGATTCTTTGACAAATAGTTAAAAACTTGTTATATTTTTCAAAATTATTTCACATTTCATACTTCAAAAATTAATTCACTCGCATCATAGTTTTTTGTCTATTATACTTTTGTCATGTCATATATGTCAATAAAATCTTTCAAATATTATTTATTTGTTAATAAATTAATAATTATTTTAAGTCATCAATGAATAATTATATAATTGTTAAACTCATAAGTTTGGCTAAATCAACACAGGAATATTATGGAAATAAATATTTTTTTACATAAAGATCTGATTTTTGGCATTTGCATTTTATTTCAAATTAATTATAACTGTCAAAATATTTTCTTTTCGGTTAAAATTTAATATAATATTTAGTTTGTCTAGTTTGTTTTTGTCAGATTCCAATGAAACCCTCAGATTGTACTATTCCATTTAAGAGGTTACAATTTCCTGTAAGATTAGCATTTGCGATGACAATCAAAATATATCTCAACTGATATATTAACTAGCTGTAAGTGGAATTCTGTCTTAAGGCAATTAGGGCATCGTGCCTTAAGGCAAATTACTGGAACTTCCTGTACCAAAAATTATTATTTTTTTAAAAACAATTAACATTTTTGAAAAAAAATTACTTCAAAAAAATAAGATTTTTGAGAAACTTTTGACCGCCAAATGGCATTTTTTTTACTTTTTTCGTTAGATCTCCGAAACCGCTAGACCTGCCCTTATGAAAATTCGATCAAATCTTCATCTTGTCAATACAAGTAAAATGTTTTTTGAATTATTAAAATCGGACGCTCCGTTCTCTCAAAAAATCAATTACTATTTTTGGCACTTTTTGCCCCGTATCTTCGGAACGGCTAGACCTACCTCCGCCAAAAACTAATCAGCACGTCTCCTTATCAATACGGATCGAATGTTTTTTAAATTATTCTAATTGCTTCATCCGTGTTCCCGAAATCGTCGGCGAAAATTTGTATCCGCACACACATACATACATGCACACACACACACATACATACATTTTTTATAAGGTATGCCAAAATATTCAGAAACCTTTGAAACGTAAAGATATATAAAAATTTTCATTTTCGATTTTATTTGCGATTACTATAACTTACCCTACGGGAAGCTAATAATAATATTATATTTTAATTACACAAATTTGTTTACACTCCGATAAATAATTCCAACGCATCATAGTGTTTTGGAACACTATTTATAATTTATTTTAATTTTGTTTATGTCAATTTTTTTTTAATTAAAGAATAAATTAAATTTTAGTCTAAATCAACGCAGTATCTTTATCTAAATATACAATTTTTTATATAAATATTTGATTTTTTACATTTGCATTTAATTGAAAAATAGTGAATGTCAATTTCCATATATCCAATATGCACTAAATTTATAAATGTCAAAATATTTCCTTCTTGGTCCAAAATTAATATAATATGATAATATTTATTTTGCAATAATGTTTTGTATCTATAATTTGCTTGACAATATTGCCTATAACATAACTTGGAATAATTAATTTATTTGCTTCTTATTGAAGTAAGTCGTTAAACAATTTTTTGTGAAATGTCAAAATTTTGTTTATGATTAATTTTAAATTCAATATGCCGCTTTTTTATTGTGATCTCTGATCTATAAGGTTTTGATGAAGTTTTGGTTTCCGAAATAATTTGGTAAGCTAATCAATTAAATCTAAATCGTAAATCTATTCATATAATTATTTTCATAAATATTGACAAATGACATTTAATTTTTTTACATGGCAACATTTATTCAAATTTTTAGGCATTGATTTTTAATTAGATTTAAAACTATAAACAGTGATTTTGAATATAGCATTTTATCACGTTTGGATTTAAATATTGGATATTGCTATATATGTACATGTTTTTGAATTTTATTTTTTGAAATGTCAAATTTTTTTTTCAAAAATTATATATCGAAATTTCCTTAAATTTTGACATTTGTCATTTTAGTGTTTTGTTTTTTTTTGGCCATTTTCTGTCAAAATTTTTAGAAATTTATAAAAATTAAATATTTATATTTCAAATTTACTTTTCAAAATTTCCTATAACCTAAATTGGATATATATGCACACTATGAGCCAATAAAATTTAAAATCGGTTCAGTAGTTTGGGCGTCCATCGCGAACCAACATCGGGACACGAGATTTAAATATATATAGATATTATTATTATTATTATTATTAATGGTTCTATTTTCAAATAGGATAAAACCGGTTTAACAGCAGCTATTATTCGCAAGCAAGTCGGCCTACCTTCCGATATATCCATACCGAGCAGTGCTTTTCATTCAAGTAATAAACCAACAATTGTTCCTGCTGTCGCTTCAGAAGACGTTGATGATCTTCCTGATGATATATTTACAACTCCACTGAATTTGATGGAAGGTAATAGATAGATATTCAATTTACTTCTTACTTTATTATTGATTTAAAAGTATATATACTATTATTATTATTTTAGTTACTACTGTAGAGCAAAGACTGTTTCAACCGGATAATCAAGCAGCAAGTGTCACCGGACTGTTTCCACAACATAAACTATTATCAATCAAACAGTCTTTAAGGTGTCGTCAATGCGAGCATAATGTTATCAAACCAGAGTACAATCCGAGTTCTATCAAGTTTAAAATCAATCTGTTGGCATGGTAAGTGAGATTTAGACACATTTTTATAGTACATGTAATTAATTTTTATTTAATTGTAATTTTAAATTTATCTTGAATCTTTATTTTTATTAACTTTATATTTATATTTATATTGATGTTGGTTGAATTATTTAAGTCATAACACTAATACAAATATATTTTTCATAGAAAATTAGACTGATAAATTTAAATTAAACATCAATTACTTGAGAAATTTGGAAATTTATGCCAGTATTTGGATTCTACTAAAAATTACCTTTCAAATGATACCCCACATGCCATAAATGTGAATTTGAAGTAAAACTTCTTCAGGCTCTTATGCTACAAATTCGTAAAAAGTGTATATTTTGTGGGCAAACTGCATAGTTAATTTCGGTATTGGGATTCTATTCAAAAAGACCTTTCAAATGATACCCCACATGCCATAAAAGTACCATCAAAAATTTTTGAAGTAAAACTTCTTTAGGCTCCTGTGCTACAAATTCGTAAAAAGTGTATATTTTGCGGACAAACCACATAGTTAATTTTGGTATTTGTTCCAAAAGTTTTTCACCTCCACTATATAAAAAAAATCTATAAATTTTAACATTTTAATATTTTTTACAATAAATATGGTTATGTATATAACGTTTTCATTACAATAAGATCATTTTCTTGAAAATCGTTTTCTACACATCGAGACCTTTTAAATGGTACCCCACATGCCATAAAAAATACTATGTACTATTTTGAAGTAAAACTTCTTTAGACTCCTCTATTAAAAATTCGTAAAAAGTCTATATTTTGTACACAAATCACCTAATTAATTTCTGTATTAGGACTCTATTCAAAAATACCTTTCAAACGATACCCCACATGCCATAAAAGATACAAGTTAAATGTTTTGAAGCTAAACTTCTTTAAGCTCGTATACTACAAATTTGTGAAAAGTGCATATTTCAAGTATGTTTGAAAGATATTAATTGGAAATCAAATTGATAACTTTTTTAGTGAAAGTGAAAATTATTCTACATGTCGAGACCTTTGAAATGATACCTCACATGCCATAAATGATACAATCTACAATTTTTGAAGTAAAACTTCTTTAAGCACGTTAATTACAAAAAAGAGTGTTAAAAGAGCATATTATAAGTTTGTTTGAAAAACATCAATTGGAAACAAATTGATAACTTTTTTAGTGAAAGTGAAAATTATTCTACATGTCGAGACCTTTCAAATGATACCCCCACATGCCATAAAAGATACAATAAAAAATGTTTGAAGTAAAACTTCTTCAGACTCCGTTGCTACAAATTCGTAAAGAGTGTATATTTAGTGGAAAAATCACATAATTAATTGCAATATTCGGATTCTATTCAAAAAGACCTTTTAAACGATACCCTACATGCCATAAAAGTACCATCAAAAATTTTTGAACTAAAACTTCTTTAAGCTCGTTCATTACAAATTCGTTAAAATATAATTATGTTTGAAAGCAATCAAGTGGAAATCATATTGAAAACTTTTGTAGTGAACGTGAAAATTATTGTACTCGACGATACCTTTGAAATGATACCCCACATGCCATAAAAGATACTATGTAAACAGTGTATATTTCGTAGACAATTAACATAGTTAATTTCAGTATTCGGATTCTATTCAAAAAGATCTTTCAAACGATACCCCACATGCCATAAAAGATACAAGTTAAATTTTTTGAAGTAAAACTTATTTAAGCTCGTATACTACAAATTTATTAACAGTACATATTATATTAAGTATGTTTGGAAGACATCAATTGGAAATCATATTTATCACTTTGTTAGTGAAAGCCAATTTTTTTTCAAAATATATGGTTCAACATTTTACCTAAATATCTGCATTTTAACACTTTCCACTCGCGAATTGCGAGATTTATACGAATTTTGTCGCCGGAGAGGCGGCATCCAAGTCGAAAGGGTTAATTCTTATTGATTTAGTTGATCAAGTATACGTATCGAGAAGTTCATGCAACTTTTCTTAAGGAATTTATTTTTATTTATTTATTTTTGTTTTAATTTTGACAAAAATATTTCTTCCATCCATTTCTAGTTATCACGTACCAGAGTTGCGCCTGATTTCATGCGAAGTCCTAAAACCTGGACAAAGTTCTAAAATTATCCTGAAGTTGACGAATCCAACTCATAATGAAATGTTGATCAGCTTTCTATCTGTTGATTTCGAATGTCCGGAACCAGGAACCAAGAGTGACAAAAAATCTGGAGCGGAAGAGGTAATAATAATAATAATAATAATAATAATAATAATAATAATAACTAGTGATGTATGGCATCGTGCCTTGAGGCAAATTGCTGGAACTTCCCGTACAATTGCTGAACCTTCAAAACGTCGTAATGAAATATTCGAGAAATTTTAAACGTTTTCAAATGTATTATTACAAATACTGTAACTTTCATTATTTTTGCATTATCTTGTTATATCTGAGCAAATCAAATGTAAATCATAAATAAATCAAATTTATCTCCAGAACATTAACAATCGTCATTTCATTTCGAATTCAATTTCAAAAAAAAAAAATAGTTGACAAAATTCAAAAAGTGCTCCCGTATAGTCACAGTCTAAACGCATTTGCAAATAATTCTGTGCGACATTTTCACTTATACTGTGCTTAGCTTGGCGGCATTTATAAGAACTAAAATGATTGTTGTTAAATTGAGGAGGCTACATTTTAATATATTATTATCTCGTTTTATATTTTTGGACCGGTTCGATTTTTATTTGTTTATAGCTTCTAAACAAATTGTCCGATTGTTTTGCAATATCCAGCAAACTTTTAGCCAATTAAATTATCTACAACTTTTGTTAATAACAAAATGTTGTATCTCATATCCTTTTACCCAAAATTTGCAATGAAACAGGTTGTTGTTAAGTTTTGGAGGTTGCATCAGTATATCTTGCTTCACACTTTTGGACCGGTTCGATTTTTATTTATTTATTTATAACTTCAAAACGAAATGTCCCACCATTTTGCAATATTCAGCAGATTTATAGCCAATTAAATTATCTACAATTTCTATTAACAACAAAAATTGGTATCTTTTGTCCTTTTATCAAAAATTTACATTTAAAAAGGTAGTTGCTAAATTTTGGAGGTTACATCATACTCATGTATCTTACTCTGTCACTCTACACTGTCAGGTATATGTTGCTCTTTTTCGCACTAGTATTTTATATATCTCTCTCTCATTTTCTCACTGTATACTGTTGTCTCTTTTACGTTTAATCAAAACAGACTCTATATCACATCGCGACTTAAGAAGTTTTACTTCAAAAATAAAATTCTATTTTACTAATTTATACATCGCCAACCTAAGAAGTTGAATTCAAATGTAAATCATAAATAAATCAATTTATCTCCAGAACATTAACAATCGTCATTTCATTTCGAATTCAATTTCAAAAAAAAAAAAAATAGTTGCCTAATTTACACAAAATTAAAAAAAGTGCTCCCGTATAGTCACAGTCTACAAGCCTTTGCAAATAGTTCTGTGCGACATTTTCACTTATACTGTGCTTAGCTTGGCGGCATTTTCACATTTTTCAATAGTTTTCTTTTCACAAAAATGGAAAAGTGCTCCAGTATATAAACAGTCTAAACGCACTTGGGTAAACATTTCTACCAGAGTGGCGCTTAGGCTATGCTTAGCCTGGGTAATTTTTTGAATTTTTGTATTTAGTATTTTTCATCATCATCTGTATTTTACTAGACATGAAAATAAAAAGGACTCTACTGACAAACAAACTGAAATACTCGTCTGCTCGTCAGTAAAGTAGGTACCCTTTTATATATTTTAGCTTGTGCTTGTCAGTAGGGTCCTTTTATTAATTTTGTATTGGTTTGCTCCTCAGTAGAGTCCATTTTTTATTTCTAGATTAATTTGCCCGTCAGTAGAGTCCTTTTTTAATACTGAAAATGCGGACATACAAAACACACACATACACACACATCCATTTAGTTTCTGAGGTATGCCCTATAAAAATGTTCAGAAACCTTCAAAACATCGAGAAATGCAAAAATTTTCATTTAATTTTCGGCCCATTACTATAACAACCCTACGGGAAGTTAATAAATGATATTAATAAATGATTCTTTTTCCCAATTTGTTTATTTTTCCCATTACCATTAGTAACTTTTTTAAACATTTTTATGCATATGTGTTTCCATGCTTCTTGGTCTTGTGCTTCGGCTTTCAGTTCCCTGTATTTTCTACTCTAGCTTAAGAAGTCATCTATCATCTGCATTTTTCTTTTTCCCAATCCTTTCAGTCCTTGTGTTTTACCTTCGTCAGTTTTTTCAAAAACTGCTGGACCGATTTCCAAAATTTTAAAACCATTTTAAAGGAATCGTTTTTGTTTATTTGTTTTTTTTTTCTTTTGAGACAATCGGTCGAGCAGTTTCTTTAGAATTAGCAGGAAAGTGGCTATAGAGTAATTACTTTTTATTTATTATTTAACTCTGCAAAACAGATCCTTCCCAGTCTCCTTTTCCCTTTCCGACTTCATTTGTTACCTTATCAATCCACTTTATGAAAATTCATATGTAACATTTATTTTGTGCCATCTAATAATTTTATCCAATTATATTTTTTTTATTATTATAGAGTTCGTTAATATTGGGTCGTCAATTGAGTGTTTCCATCCCCGAAGAACCAAGGGAATTCAAGAACATATCAAATAGCACCATTGATTTGCCACAAGAGTCAATTACTTTACCGGCACGAGATGATTCTGCAGAATACGATGATGATGCTGTTATTGAACGTGGGGACGATCCAGGGTAAATATTATAAACTAGATTTAACATAACCGCTCGCGTACGTGAATGCTGTAGCATTCAAACTTAAAGTCAATTGATATAAATTTAATTCTATAACTAACTAACAGATTCTTTAGGTAGCTTCGTATTATCTTATCTTACAAATTAGCTTGGTCAAAGCAGATTGTGGAAAATAAAAGCGCGATACTTTACGTGGATGCTATAGCATTCACGATTGAAATATAATATGACTACTGAGACTTTTATTGGGCGCGAACGTCTTAACGTGCAAGATTACTTTTCAGTTGAAACTGCATCTTTTTCCATAGTCACTAATTTGACGTGGATGCTATAGCATTCACGTAGTATAAAACGATTAGCATTCACCTAGTACATAATAGTATTTTCGTATTATCTTTTCTAGTAGTCACTAATGAGTCATTAGTCATTAGTAATGACCTTGTGCCAGGTAATTGCGTAAAATACATGCGGAATACTTGATGTGGATGCTATAGCATTCATCTAGTATATAACGTTTAAAATGAGATAACATTGTTTTTCTATTTTCTATTTTCTAATCTTTTTAACTAACGTGCAAGATTACATTTCAATTGAAACTGCATTTTTTCCATAGTTACTAATTTGACGTGGATGCTATAGCATTCATGTAGTATACAACGATTGAAATATGATAATCTGACCACTGAGACTTTTATTGGGCGCGAACGTGTTAACGTGCAAGATTACTTTTCAGTTGAACTGCATTTTTTGCATAGTCACTAATTTGACGTGGATGCTAAAGCATTCGTCTCGTATATAACGATTGAATAATATGATAATCTCAATACTGAAACTTTTATTAGGCGCACAACGCAAGATTACTTTTCAGTTGAAACTGCATCTTTTTCCATAGTCACTAATTTGACGTGGATGCTATAGCATTCATGTAGTATACAACGATTGAAATATGATAATCTGACTACTGAGACTTTTATTGGGCGCGAACATGTTAACATGCAAGATTACTTTTCAGTTGAAACTGCATCTTTTTTTATAGTCACTAATTTGACGTGGATGCTATAGCATTCATCTAGTATAAAACAATTGAAATATGATAATCTGACTACCGAAACTTCTATTGGAAGCGAACATGTTAACGTGCAAGATTACTTTTCAGTTGAAACTGCATTTTTTTCATAGTCACTTATTTGACGTGGATGCTATAGCATTCATCCAGTATAAAACAATTAAAGAAAGATAATCTGACTGAACATGCGTCTAATGCACTGAGTATTTTTTAACTTGACCAATTATTTCAAATTTTATTTTATTTTTATATATAAACTACAATTATTATTTAGGAAATTTAGCAATAATTTAGGAAATATTTACTTTTTCATAATTTAGGAGTTTTTTTATTATATTGTTTATTAGTATATATCAAACTTTGTAAATTATTAAGTGCCCGCCATAAAATTTTCAAAATTGAATGCGGTCCTTGAGTTAGAAAGGTTGCTCATTCTTGGAATAAATCTAAGCAGTGATAAAACTCTTCTCAAAATGAACTATTATTTATTTTTAAAGTATTTTCTACCCGTTTTTTTTTTCAGATTTATAATTTGGCGCAAACATAACAAACTAAGTTTGAAGTTCTTCACGACTCCAAATGCAGATTTGAAATCCGGGGATGAAGTAATCATCGGCCTGACTCTGAAATACACGTATGTCAATACAGTTTTTCCGGAAAAAATGAAACATGAACTTTTTGCAAAGGTATTTGTTACTGCAGGAAAAATACAATAATACAAAGATAATAATAATATAAAATTCAGGCTTCTTAATTTTTTAATGTGCTTTATTACTTTTAAGATGGGTTTTTGAATTGTATTAATAGAATTGGATTTATTTATTTATTGTCATATTTAAGCTTGTAATAAAATTTTAATAATTAAAATACTTTTAATAAAATTTTAAGCTACTTTTTAAGAGAAAATTTTGAAAAGAAAACTCACAATACTGGACTGGAATTAAACAGATTTGTTTATTTTATACATGTGGAATTAAAAGTGTATTAAGCTCTTTCCGGATCAGAGACGTGGACTCTAAAAAAGGCCACAACAAAACTATCCTATAAAGTGGACAGACAAGGTGACAAATGAAGTTCTAAGAAACTGGATCGGATCTGGATGGAGTGTCTCAGGTTTTAAAAAGTTTCACTTCAATATAATATAGATCGTATATTTTATCGCCTATTGGGCATTGTTTAAAATTTTGTGATTTGGACCCGAAATATACACTTTTTAAGAATTTGAAGCAGATGAGTAAAGAAGTTTTACTTCAAAATTTTTTGATGGTTTATTTTATGGCATATGGGGTATCATTTGAAAGGTCTCGATGAGCAGAACACGATTTTCACAAAAAAAATGTATATTGTGATACACACGTTAAATGAATAACTATATTGCAAATATATTAAAATGTTGAAATTCATTTAATTTTTTTCACATAATCGAACACTTACATTAACTATATAATTTATCCACAAATAATGCGCTTTATGTAATTTATCCAAAAATTTACGAATTTGTATCAAATGAACCTAAAGAAGTTTTACTTCAAAAATTTTATATCCTATCTTTTATGGCATGTGGGGTATCATTTAAAAGGTCTCAATGAATAGAACACAGTTTTTACAATAAAATTAGTATATTGTGATAAATACGTTAAATACATAACTATATTGTATTGCCAAAAATATTAAAATAATACTTTTTTTATAAATGAGGTGTTAATTCAACTAGATAGTGATTTGTCTAGAAAATACATACTTTTTCCAAATTTATAGCAGATGAGTCTAAAGAAGTTTTACTTCAAAATTTTTTGATGGTTACTTTTATGGCATGTGGGGTATCGTTTAAAAAGTTTTGATGAATAGAAAACGATTTTTACGAAAAAATTGAATATTGTAATAAAACGTTATATATATATATATATATATTACACCATATTTTAGTAAAAAAATATTAAAATGTTAAAATCTATTTAATTTTTTTAAAATAAGTAAATACTAACATTAACTATGTGATTTATCCACAAATAATGCACTTTTGAAAAATTTGTAACACATGAGTCTAAAGAAGTTTTACTTCAAAAATTTTTGGATTGTATCTTTTATGGCATGTGGGGTATCGTTTAAAAGGTCTGGAAGAGTAGAAAATGATTTTCACAACAAAATTAGTAAATTGCAATACATACGGTACATACATAACCATATTATATTGCAAAAATATTAAAATGTTAAAATTTATTGATTTTTTCCTAATACTAGAGGTGTAAAACATTTTACGTAATTTGTATCCACAAAATATACATTTTTCACGAATTTGTATCGGATGAGTCTAAAGAAGTTTTACTTCAAAATTTTAGATAATATCTTTTATGGCATGTGGGGTATCATTTAAAAGGTCTCAATGAGTAGAAAACGATTTTCACAACAAAATTAGCATATTGTAATAAACACCTTATATATACATACATATAATATTGCAAAAAATATTAAAATGTTACTTTTTTCATAATGGAGGTGTTAATTCAACTAGGTAGTGATTTGTCTACAAAATATACATTTTTCGAATTTGTACCAGATGAGTCTAAAGAAGTTTTACTTCAAAAATTTGTATCATGTCTTTTATGGCATGTGGGGTATCATTTAAAAGGTCTCGACGATTAGAAAACAATTTTCATAAAAAAAATTAACATTGTAATAAGCACTTCATATACATAAACTTATAGTGCAAAAATATTAAAATGTTAATATTAATATCTAGAGGTGTAAAACATTTTATGTAATTTGTATAACTAAATATACACTTTTTACAAATTTGTAGCAGATGTGTCTAAAGAAGTTTTACTTCAAAATTTTTTGATGGTATCTTTTATGGCATGTGGGGTATCATTTGAAAGATCTTTTTTAGTAGAATCTGAATAATGAAACAAATTTTCAAATTTGTGAAGTTCTTGATATAAAATTATAATTTATTGGTCTCATTATCTTTGAATTAAATATATTTGTATTAGCGTAATGCTTAAAATAATTCAAGTATTATATAATATATATGGAAATTGAAAAGTCAAAGCACAGGATCAAGAAAGGTAAATAGAAAGGAAGTGATCAATGGTAATCTAACGGTAACAGGACTAATGAACAAAGGAAAGAAAACTTTTACATCAAGGACCTGCACTGCAAGACTACATTTGCCTAAGATAATTCAACTATTATATAATTTATATGAAAACAAAGTCAAAGCACAGGATCAAGAAATTTGTAAAGAAAAATGTATTAAAAAAGTGAATAATTGTAATAAAACAGTAACAGAAATAATGAACAAAGGAAAGAAAACTTTTACACCATAAACCTGCACTCAGTAAGACTACATTTATTATTATTTCTAGGATTAATTCCTCAACCGACAACCTAGGACAATAATAAACAACTGAATTTCATATTCCACCATTTAAATAAAACTTACTCTCACAGACGAGCATTTATTACAACAAAACAAATACAAAATCCATGAATATTTTCATTGTCCATTTACAATCTACGACCTCTGCGACCACCCTTCCTGCGTGTGGAATCTGATGGAATGGGTGTCACATCTTCAATGCGTCCAATTTTCATCGAAGAACGGGCCAAAGCTCTCAAAGCGGACTGGGCACCTGGTCCTGGGGTCTTGGTTTTGTTTCCACCGGTGGCACGGAGCTTGATGTGCAGGGCTGTGATGCCGAGGGACTTGCATTTCTCAGCCACATCCTGGTAAAGGACACAGGATAAAGGTAATAATTGAAAGTATAAATACATTCTGGAGTTTGTAAGCAATTATTAACTGAATATAAAATTATTGCAGGTTGTAGGAGAAGTAGACAAAGGCTTTGTGGAACCTAACCTAACTTTTATTTTTTTTCCTTACCTGAGCGGCCAACATAGCAGCATAAGGAGAGGCTTCATCACGATCAGCCTTTACTTTCATGCCTCCGGTGACCCTGGCAATAGTTTCACGTCCAGACAAATCGGTGACATGAACGAAAGTATCATTGAAGCTGGCAAAAATGTGAGCGACTCCAAAAACAATTTCACCTTCACGTACTTGAGGTCCCAAAGCCACCTGCACTTCTTCTTTTGCTACTTTGTTTTTTCTTGGAGCCATTTTTTAATCCCTAGAACACGAACAGTAAAATTATAACACTTTTAATTTATAGGTTAGGATGTTGTCAAAACTTGATCCGGGAACATCGGATTATTGAATGCACTTTTATGGTAAAATTATGGTTTATTAGTATTATCAACAAGTGGAAAAACACTCACTTTATGTATTATTGATGTCAAGTATTTTATTTTTATTTTATAGAAGATTTCGTTTACCTATTTGTGATTTCACACAATATTCCGCAGACAGGAAATTCAAAAGAGAAAGATGGATGACACGCGCGAGACGAGAGCTCTTTGACACTGCGGATAACTTCATGCTAGTTGGATTCGGCGGTAAGTTTGAATTTGAAATGTATAGATATTGTTTTGGCAAAAACTAATTCTTTCTGAATTAAATTGTATAAAACCTTAAATTAGAATTATTTTTTGAAAATATTTGTTAATTTGAGAATATAAAGCATATTTTAATTATTTTTATAATATATGTATATATTTTGTACGTTTTGACACTGTATGTGTGTCATCATTCAGTAAGCTAAGAAATGTCGAAACCAGGAAAAAAATGTCTGAAATTTGGTAATTATATGACTACCTTCATGTTTTATTATTTATCTTTTAATTTGTTATTTTGTTTTATTAGTTTCTTTTTATATTAAATAATATTGTTTAAAGACATATGTCTTTAAATTTGTGTGGTTCAAATTTTTTAACGTACTCAATAATGACACATATACAATTCCAAAACGTACATAACAAATATAGTTAATTATTTATTCTTTTATTCAAGAATATATATTTATTATATATATAAATTTAAAAATTATTTAACATAGAAATGTTAAATTTAATTGTAGTATTAAATTTTGAAAACGACTTTACTACAAAGTAATAAGTAATTAAGTTTTTTTTATCAAATTTTGAAAATATTATAAAAAATATATTGTCCAGAAATGATTTATCCAAATAAGGATAAAATTCTGAACCTCAGAAAAACTTTTTGTCCACGTTTTCGGGCGCTCGGATCGACCGATTTGAATGTTTCAAAACACATTCGATTATAATTGATAGGGAGATGTGCCGATTAGTTTTTGGCAAAGGCAAGTCCAGTCGTTACGGAGATACGGAGCAAAGAGTAGAGAAAATAGAAATCGAGTTTTTGAGATAACGGAGCATTCGATTTGAATGATTCAAAAAGCATTCAATTCGTAATGACGGGAAGAAGTGGTTATTAATTTTTGGCGAAGGCAGGTCCAACCGCCAAGGAGATACTGATCTAAATATGCAAAAAATAACAGTTTTTGAGAGAATTAAGCATTTTATTTGAATGATTCAAAAAACTTTCTGTTTGTTTTGACAAAAGCAAAAAACATTTTTTTGAATTATTTGAATTTTAATTTGAATTCTAGCTAAAGTTCTAAAACTCTCTTATATAATTCAAATAAATAATTTTAACTTCGCAATTAAGTTTATATAATTCTTATAAATATGAGATAAGGTCCTTAATTTGAAATTCAATTGATTACATTGTGTTTGTTTACTTGTCTGTGAACATATATAAGTTACATACTGAGCTTCTTGTTTAAACTAAGAAGTCAAGTTTATTAGTGCATTTTTCTGTATTTTTAGTAATTTCTTAAATAATTTGTTCAAACATGTATATATTATTATATATCAATGAAAAATAGATAAAATAATCTATAATCTGTGTATAACAATTTTTGCCGTTCGGCACAAAATTATAATAAAAAAATTGATTGAATTTCAAAATTAAATACTGAGCTTCTTGTTTAAACTAAGAAGTCAAGTTTACTAGTGCATTTTTCTGTGTTTTTAGTAATTTCTTAAATAATTTGTTCAAATATGTATAGTAATAATACATATACATACAATAGTAATAATAAGTTACAGTATTTATAATAATCCATTTGAAAACATTTAATATTTTATTACAATATGAGAAGTTCTAGCAAATTACCTTAAGGCACGATGCCATACACCACTAGTTTTGAATTTCTACACTAGAATACCCCCTTAATCGGTCAGAAAATAATCAGTTTATGTATTAGGCATGTGTTTGTGTTTTAATAATGTGTAATATAAAAAAACATGTACAAAATTGAATAATCATATATTAATATGTTAATTTTCTATCAAAACAATTATTTACACATGTTGGGAAACTCATGCAACGTGCCTCAAGGCAAAATTCCACTCGCGAACAATTTCACATCAATTTCAAAAGTGACATTTCGAATTCGAATCTCGCGCCTTTACTCTCGCCAACTTCGCTACCGTAATCGATCGTTCGCCTAACTTCGGCATCATTTCGGTCTCGTCCGTGGCACAAGTAATTCATCCGAAGCGTGCGCCATGTTTGTTATTGTGGTTTCGATGAGGGAGGTCGCTAGCGCTTGACAAATTGTTGGTTTTTTGTTCGGATTGAATTAAAAAAAACTCTAAATGTATTTTATAAAAGTGTCCTGTGATTACGGGTGCGATGTCATCATTCCGAGCGACCATTTGATAGAGGAAACAGAAACATAATCGGGTCTTGTTTCGTCTTGTCTTGTCTTGGGCACGCACACATCGATCGCGATAATAATAATATCAGTCGATTAGTGGATAGTGGTGGTGATAATAATATTATTATAGTTTTGTGTGGTGTGTGGTGTAAAACGCCACACTTGATTCTGTCAAAGTGGCGTCGGCGGGTGCTAATAATTCTAACAATGTCGAGGGCCAGCAGCAGCAGCAAAATGCAGAGGCGGAGGCCCCGATGCTCGATTGGGAGGAAGGTGACAGGTTTAGTTTCGAAGACTCCGACAGATTCGAAGAGGACTCGTTGTGCAGCTGGAGCTCCGAGCCTGAGAGTTTGTGCAATAATTGGAGAGGCTGGAAGAGACCGGCCTATGCTAATGGTGGAAACTATAATGCCGTCGGGAATAAGAAGTCGGGCGAAGGTAAGATTATTTTAAATTAATTTCTTCCATATGTATTTATTATTTTTGTGGGTCGTTGGCCACTACTGCTACCTTCTTGCACTGACTCTGTGACTCTCTGACAACGATCAGCTGGTCGGGCTCAGTGCAATCACACTGGATAGCGCGCGCACCCGTTCGACGACATAGTAGACGTCTCTGTCTCGATTTAGTTAGTCGTTTTGACATTTTTTCAGGGCCCTTTACGCTTACATATGAACACTTGCAACTAATTATAAGTTTGATGATATGTACTTTTATTTATGCATTCACTTAATCCAAAATGATATTTATATGTTTTAAAAATCGTTTCAAGCTTGATATTATTCGGTCTGTATTTATTTATTTTGATGAGGCTAAGTTTTTAGTACAATTTGACATCTTTGTTTTCGGTTCTATTATATATATACAAGATTATTATGCAGAATTGTAAAGAATTTTCACTTTAAATTCTAAAGACACACACTCATACATTAATTTTTTCTAAGGTATGCCACAATGTTCAGAAACCTTCAAAACGTATGTTATATAAAAATTTTTATTTTAGATTTTTTTGTAATTAGTATAACTTACCCTACGGAAAATTAATTGTAAGTTGATGATACTGTTATTTGAGAATTCACTAAACACATATGTAATTATTGCTATAAAATTTGACTTTATATTATTCAGTCTATATTTATAGTTTGATGACGCTTGACGCAAATTCAATTAAATAAAACATTACATTTTTATTAATTTATTATTGATTAGTTTTTTTTAATTCTCATATATATCATGTCACACGAAAATGTTATTATTCTCAATTCTAAAATTTTTTTACTTGAAATTCTTAAATTTATTTTTATTCTTGATATATTATTTCAATTTCAAAAACATAGTGGCATTTGCCTCAAGGCAAGTTGCTGGAACTTCCCGTATCAAATATTATTATTTCTTAAAAAACGAATAACATTTTTGAAAAAAAAAATACTTCGAAAAAGATAGTTTTGAGAAACTATAAATTGAACAAAAAATTACTTTTTTATATATGTATCTCTGTCTTTGAAAAAAAATTTAGAAAAAAAAGTTTTTTTTTGAAAAAAAAATGTTTTCTTTATTTTGACATATTTTGGAAGATCTGAACTTTTTTTCAAAGCAATCGTACTGTTTTAACTGCATAGAGACAAAATATAAAGCGCGTAAGCGCCGCGTCGCCGTCTAACGCGTAAACATTGGTACGGAACCCATAGGAATGTAAACAAAATTTATACTTATGTTAAAATCTCTATAATATATCTGATAATTTGATGTGCATATGTCTAATGATCATTTTTGACCGCCAAATGGCATTTTTTCTTTACTTTTTTTACTAGACCTCCGAAACCGCTAGACCTGCCTTTCCAAAAATTTAATCAGATCTTTATCTTGTCAATACAAGTAAAATGATTTTTGAATTATTCAAATCGGACGCTCCGTTCTCTTAAAAACTGAGTTACCGTTTTTGGCACTTTTTGCCCCGTATCTTCGGAACGGCTAGACCTGCCTTCGCCAAAAACTAATCAGCACGTCTCCTTATCAATACGAATCGAATGTTTTTTGAATTATTCAAATCGGTTGATCCGTGTTCCCGAAATCGTCGACGGAAATTTGTATCCGCATACACACACATACACATACATCCATTTTTTTCTAAGGTATGCCAAAATGTTCAGAAATCACTGAAACGTAAAGATATATAAAAATTTTCATTTTTGATTTTATCCTATGGAACTTATCCTATGGAAGGTTAATTATTGAACTATTTATTCTGTACGTTTTGACACTGTATGTGTGTCAATATTTAGCATATTTAACAAGAGGATTTATCAAATTTTAAACTATGTTGGAAAATATAGCTGTTTGTCCACAATAATTCACCTTTGTTTTCTTTTCGAAACTGTCTTTTTCAATACGATAATCTTGAATCTAAACCTCTATTAGACCAATTTTACAGGGTTTTCTTTATACTTCTCTTTAGTATAAAGTATGATCATCTCCAACCTCCGAATTTTCAATTTGAGAATATTAAAAAAATGGATTTCTTAATTTAATTATTTATGATTAATGGATTTTTTTTTAATTATTTCGAGAGCTAAAATTATGGATATAATCAGGTGCCAATTTTTTGATCATCTCCAACCTCCGAATTTTCAATTTGAGAATATCAAAAAAAAGTTGTAAAAATTTATTTCTTTCGCTATTTTGTGGAAAAACATGATCTTTACATGATCTTAGTTCATTGGATAGCGACATTATTCTAGATTAATAATATGTGGATTTTTTTTTTAATTATTTCGAGAGCTAAAATTATGGATATAATCAGGTGCCAATTTTTTGAGACCCTCCACTTCACCTTCTAGATTAAAATTGTATGACTGAATTTTTTTTTTGCAAAATATTTGCATAAAATTTGTCTCCAATAATCTCCCTTTAATATCTTTCTTTTTGCTCTACTATATATTTACTTACACTATAATATTATTCTGCAGAATTGTGAAACAAAATTATTTGAAATTCTTGAATTACTTATAATGCTCGAATTTTTAATATATTTTAATTTTGAACCGCACTTTTACAAGTTTTTAGTTATCCTATTTACTTTTTTCTAATATATATTTTTTTGAAATATTTGTATGCAATGAAATGATTTTTTTTTTGAAATTATGCTGCACGTATGTTGCATTTTTTTCCTGTTTTGATAAGAACCTGTATTTTTTATTTTTGTAAGATTTTCTAGTTATCTTGTTATTTTATAAACTTTGTGAATTTATTATTAAATTTAAAATTTGTTAAAGTGCCGAATGATGACACACATACAATATCGAAACGTATATAATAAATATGTAGTTTATATATTCAAATTTATGTTAATATGAATCCAAAAGTTTGATTTTGTTTGTTTAGTCGAAAAGCGCTTGCTTTCGAAACATGCTCCATATCTTTTGCTGATTCATATAAACAAATAAACATTCGTAATGGTTATATTTACACAAACAAATTCGGATAATATTAAATAATAAACACTAAATATTTATTACAGAAGCAATTAACTATCGTCGTATGTTTGCGAAAACATATAACATAAATTGTTATTTTTTGTTTTATATGTATCGTTGATTTTAAACGTTGATTTAGCACTTTTATGACAAAACTGCAATTTGCTAAGAAAACTTATATGAAAGTATGAACAACTATTAATGGCGTTTAATAGAAAATAAGACTAGTGGGGTGTACGGCATCGTGCCTTAAGGCAAATTGCTGGAACTTCCCGTACGATAACGAAATGTTCGAGGAATATTGAATGATTTCAAGTAGATTATTATAAATATTGTAACATTGTCTAATTTAGCTCTGTATCTTTGAAATTGCTGGACCTGTCTTTGCCAAAAACTAATCACCTCTTCTCCCAATCATTACAAATTGAATGTTTTTTAGATCATTCAAATCCGATACTCTGTTCTCTCAAAAACTCGATTTGCATTCTCTGCACTCTTTGCTTCGTATCTCCGTAACGGCTGGACCTGCCTTTGCCAAAAACTAATCAGCACATCTCTCTATCAAAAGGAATCGAATGGTAAATGAATCATTTAAATCGGTTGATCCGTGCGCCCGAAAACGTGGACGAAAAAATGCGGACACACAAAACTCACACACACACACATTTTTTCTGAGGTATGCCAAAATGTTCACAAATTTTCAAAACGTCGAGAAATGCAATATTTTTCAATTTCGATTTTTGGTCCATTACTATTGTGGGGATATCAAGCAGGCTGGTTTTGATTTGTAAAAAAACAATTGGACATGTCATGTATATTTTTGATATCGAAATATTTTTATAGTCAATAAATTTGATATATTTTTTATGTTGGGAGTTTCTAATTTAATATATTGTCATAATCATTACAACTCCCACACTATAACTACCCTACGGGAAGTTAAAATCTGAAAATTCTAGTAAAAATGTAAAAGTTGGAATCTCATTGAAATGTAATCCTACAAAACTCTTTCATGATAAATATATTTGTGTTTTAAAAGCGTTATAAATCATACAAAATATCCCTATTTTTAAAAAAGTCAATAGTACTACTGACGAAGTTTAGTCATCAGTATTTTACGAGAAAACTCTTACTCGCTCAAAGCTCGTATCTCGAATTTTGCTCGTATATCGAAACAACGACTCGCTCCTCCGAAACGCTCCTAATACAGAGATACCATTGTATCTCCTATATCAATGCCGATGATACGGAACCTTGATTCACATTCACAATCACATCCTCCTCTTATTATTATTATTCTTTATTCCATATATATATATATATATATATATATATATATATATATATTTACACACACACACACACACACACACACGCCTAAGTCTGTTTTTACACGGTCTTTTTGTACACGGTTTTGATATAACACGGCTTGAAAATTGAATATTTTTAATTTTTTTACACGATTTTATTCCATTTAGCACGATTTGAAATTTTATGTACTTAAATTGTTTTGTCAAATTAAATTTTTGCGAAGTATGTTCATATCACAAAAAAGTATTTATGAAAGAAAAAAGTCTGAAACCATCGATAGTATCGATAGTTTGCGAACACTACCTTAAAGATTTAAGTGAATTTTATTTTTTACCTTAAAAATTGAATAACTTATTATTTTCGTTCACAACATAGTTTTTTAGTTCCTGAACTTGCCATATATTTAATTCATATTACTTTTAAGATTAGAGTGCATATCTTTTCTATCATTAATTACTATGCTTGTGAAAATAAGCATTATATATTTGATTTAATAAAATAAACATGAATTCTTGTTCTTAAAAATTCTTGTTTTTCACTAATTTTAATAGGTTTTAGAGATTAGGAACAAATCACCCATTTTTGTATAAGATCAATGTCTTTTTTACACGT